GGAGTATCATCGACAGTGAACCGTGTAAAATCCTCTTTAATGCGCATGATTAATCGATTCTTTGCAAGCGGAAGCAGATAATGAGCCAGGTCTGTCCCGTTTGCCAGAGCCGTGAATGCACGCGCTTATTATCCTCGAGATTTTCAAATGAGAATCGCGCGACGATTTCCGGCTTCGTCACGATCTATTAGAATTATTGTGTTTTCGTTAGTATACAACAATGACATATTAATTTCTTTCTAAACCGTGACTCCAGAACTGCGCTTTGCAGAACGATTCGCACAGTAAATTGGAACAATTGCCTCTCGTTAATCGGTTGAAATGGAAGAGTGAAAGTCTCGGAATAATAATGTAGATCTCTTCAGATATACGTCTTATTCCAGATATCTGATTTGTTTTCCCCCGGCAATAAGAAGCGATTCCCTAAATGTTTAACCGAGTACTTTGTTCGAGTTGCTATTTCGGAGATTACAATAACACTGTGTATTTTCGATTAATTAACGACTGACGTATTTTTGTGAATAATCTAGCTTTTAAAATAATATTTTAACATTATATAGGATCAAATAAAATGCTAATATATGTTGCTAATCTTATTATTAGCAATGTATATTGCCATGATTAAGATAAGCTTCTGATTTAATTAAGATCTTTCAAGTATATTTCGAGGAATTTTAGCGAGTTTCATGGGTTTCGTAATTATCGTAATAGTTCTCGTAATAAATATGTCAATTCGTCTTAAAAAAAGTTCAATCAAATCACTTACAATTAGATTTGTTTTTACGTGTACATTCGATATGGTTATGGCTTGATAATGATGCAAGCTATCTTTATTATGGCGAGCCCCAGAGAACACCTAATCGTATTTCTCCGCATCGTTATACAATTATAGGAAACTAACTCGCTGCAATCACAAAATAGCATTGTGTTTTTTTTTCCGGAAATTTCCCAAATTTAATTATTCTAAATCCTTTCTCTGAATACCATGTTAAAACATTTATTTACTTAATAGATCAAAAATAAAAATTAGAAATAAATTTAAAAAAATAGGTCTTCTGCCATCAGTCCATTAACGCAAAATCTCCGTCAACTTTAATTGAATGGAAATTGAAAATTCAAATATCACCAGTGATCTTCATTTAATTATCGACGAGTGGTTAAACCCTCGACGGTAACAAAAGCGGCACGCTATATACCGTCATACAATTATAACAATATTTCCATCGTATCAATATTTCCATAGGTACTAATATTCTATGATTGATAATTATGATTATCAGTTAACGATTATTTAATGCATACGTGCGTAATATCTACACGTATTTCATCATTACGCAAATTATACAAAAAAAAGGCAACAAAAAGGAAGAAACTTACGTCTAGCTAGAATTCTTTTTTTGCGAACAACTCTATTCTCTCTTTCTCTCTCTCTCTCTGGAGACAAGTGCTGTTATCTGATGCCAATCGGTGAGGATTACGTAAAAACCGCGCGCGAGAAGCGTCTCCGGATTTTCTCGATCCCGAAGATAAGACGCGTCGCCGAGCGTTTAACGCGACCGGCCAGCCGGTCCGATTAGATAAATCGACGCGCGATCGGAGGCGCGGCGAGAGGAAGGGAGCCGAGGTGATGCGAAGAGAAGAGACATCTCCGTGTGCCGCCGCTGCGGCTATCGGGTAGCCGAGGGTCCGATAAAGAAGCATAAAAAGTGCGGAAAAAAGAAAACGTAACCTCTTGCCGTAACCCCGAGTCCGCGATATGACGACAGCCGCGAGATAAGCCTGTCGTCCTCGTCCGAATAATCCGCGCCAGCCGGCAGCGCGTGTTACATCCGCGCGCGTTCATCCGCCCGTCCGTCCGTTCGATCGACCCGCTCGATTAATTTCCGTCGAGAGATCGTTTCTTCCTCGCCACCACCGTGCGCTACAACATCCCACCGGCACCGGCACCGGCGCGCGAGAATTAAATCGCCGACGTCGCGAATTTTTGCGACTCGACCCGCTTAATCTAGGATGCTCGCCGCGGGGAACTTATTTCGCGGAAGTCATCATCTCTGCGACGGAAATCCTGCCGTGATATAGCGAGCGAGGTGACGTTTACGGAACGCCTTTTCTTCAAAGAGATTTTGCAGCGATCGATATGCTCCGCGCACCCCGATCTAAAATCACGCGTGAAACCCTAAAAACGCTGCGACAGCGACGGATCTACGTGACGAGGATGCGCTAAGAGATGACTTTTACGTTTAACTCGTTAAATTTGATTGAGGATAAAATTCGAGACTTGCGCGAATATTGACTCTCTTATGACATCGTCCGTTGTAATGACTCTTGTGCTGCAATTAGACATAAATACACTACATTTACCCCACTTAATCTGTTCAGTCATCTGTGAATCACGGCTTACCGCTTTGTACCGCTACACGAGAGCCTATTTCAGTTTTCTTAAATTATGATAGTTAAAAGATGTAAAATGTTTATTGCTTCCCGCGTTTAGATGATTAATTTTATTACGACTTTCACCTATTAATTTTCATTCCGCATCGGCAAAATAAAAAGATTGTTTACGTAACATAGTTTATACAAAAAAAACCATTAAGTTTACATTATTTCAATTTTCTTTAATGTGTATTCTTACGTGTATAAGAAATCGATATCGGCACAGCAAATTTCCAAAATTATATGGTTATGAAATTGATAATTTTAAATCTAATTAATTTTGTCCTCGCATTGTTGTGGCAATAAGAAACGCGCAGTTTTAACTCGGATTTCTTTATCTTTATTTTAGTTATATTATCGTTATATTATCAGCTTCTACAAAAAAAATAGAAAAAAAGAAAGAAATAACATTTAGATCTCTTATCCCTTTTTTTCCTATCACAATTTTATGGCAGACGCCATCGAATTTACGTCGTTACGCTATCGAATTTCGAGTAGACCTCGCCCTGATAACGACACGCCGTTCGTGCGTTTATGTAAAAATTTGCGATTATAATAAATATAAAATTCACATCCCCTTAAATAGATTTCATGGTATGGTATATGGAATCTATGCAGATCTAAACGGTTCGAAATAGAAATAATTAATTTTTTCTTATATCGCTACTTTAGTATTCATCAAACTGCTTAAACTATAAATTATTTAAATTTAATCAAAAAGCTGCAAAGCTTTGTCAAACTAATACAAAAAGTTACCATAATTTCATTTAATAAAGATAGCTAAAAAAATTGAACACATTTATCGGGGAAAAAAAACCAAAAGAACATAAACTTCGCATTTTGCCGCTACCGATTTTACGTGCAGTATGGCACGTCAAGATTTTCTGCATTTTATAATGCGTCAATCATCGTGAAACATAATCAAAGATAAATCCTTATCACCAGAAATATTACTTTCGAGTTTCCGAGCTTGATATTTCCGCGCGCTATGCGGTGACTGGATGCAGATGAAAAACTCTGTTTCGACGTCTGGATTTCCATCGTTAAAGTGCTATGTATATACTTTTGCCTTGAATATCGCGCGAGAATTCTGCGCGTTTTTTGTTTCACTGCGATAGTGCATGCGCGAGAGATAATTCTGCCGGTCTAAAAGTGTCATGGAACGCCTGTACGAAAGGTAGTGCGAGTTGCAAAATAAATCTCGTTCTATTTGTAAAATATTAAGTATACTAATAAAAACAAAGGATATATCGATAATATTACGTAGCTAAATTTCATGTTAAGAATTTCCTCGAATTCTTTAAACAAATATTTGTTCAAAACGTGGCGACGGCACAAGATCAAAATGTATCTTAACGAGATTTATTTTACTTCTCGGCAAAGAGATTATGTCAGAGAAAAAAAAATAATAATAACGAAAGATATTGAAAGACGTAAAATCGTAACCGGAGTATAATTAATTCGAACGGTACGCCGCCCGTAACGATGTAACGAGGAACCACTGGCTTACTGACCTTGTCCTTGTCGTGAACCTGGCCCGGTAGCGCGTGACCCTTGGTAGTCCATTGGCACAGGTGCTGGCCGCTGTAGTCCGAGCACACGATGTGGAAGCACGCGTGGCACTCTGCAGGACATAGAGAACCGCACATGCAGCAGCATAGACTACTATTATCATCGCGCACTGTTCGTCTCGCTGCCAACCCCTCGTGGGTGGCTGAGCCCCTGCCGGCCTTCGCGCGACCGATCGAGTTCGCGTCGACGCCCTCTGCCACGGCAGGCTGCTGCAGCTGCAGCTGCTGCTGCTGCTGCTGTTGCGCGCTGCACCAACACATGTATCGATGAAAGGACACCGGTCTCGCGCACACCGGTTTCGTGAAACTGAGCTCGCTCTCGACACCGTCCGCCGCCGCCGCCGCCGCTGACGCCGCGGGCGTCGTCGTCGCGTCGTCGCGCGTCGATGTCGCGGTACGCGATTGCAGCTGCAACTGCTGCAAGGATTGCTCCTCAAGCTGGGCGGCCGCGGCCGCCGCCGCCACCGCTGCCGCCGCCGTTCCCTCCCGATGCTGCCTCGTCGCCTGGTTATTATTACCGGCGATGTACCACCTGGGCGACACGTACGTCGCTCGCGCGACGTCGTACAGCTGACCGACGACGTGGTCACCGCCCGCGCCGTTGCCGTACGTCGCGAGGATCGACGGCGCGGTCGCGGATCCGATAGCGAGACTCTGCATCTGCCGTTGCAGTTGCATGCTCGCGGAACCGTTCAACGACGACGAGGATGACGACGATGACGAGGAGGTGGTAGACGACGGCGCCGCGGCGCCGTTGGTCGCCGCCGTTGTCGCCGTCGCGGCGCCCTTGCGCAGCATGTAGTTGTCGGAATCGACGGCTAATAGTCGCGACATCGCCGTGGACTTAGCCTTGTTGTCGTCGCCCGTACCGGGACTGATCTTTGGCGAGCCCTTCGGCTCGAGCCGGGAGGATATCGTTGTGATTTGCTTATCCAGCTCGTCTGTGCAGGAGCCGACGATCGTCGCCGTCGTCGTGCTCGTACTCGTCGTCGTTGACGTCGCCGTCATCGTCGTCGTCGCCGCCGCCGCCGCCGTCGACATCGATCCAGGAGAGAATAACTCCTGGATCCTGGCCTGGTGGTGCACTTGCGTCGCGGCTGCCGTAGCGGCCGCAACGGATGCGCTCGTTGCACGCTTCATCGTCGCCGCGGTCGATCATCAATTGCTCGTCGCGAGTCGGCTAGGTCTTCCTCGCCGATGCCGATGTTCTCGCGATTGACGCGTTGCTGCTGTTCGACGACCCAGGCGACGAGTCCTGCTCCTCCCGCGGGCCACCCGGGTTCCCCGACATCCTCTCGAAGTCTACGTGAATTCCCCGTCCGGTAGTTACACGCTCAATCGATCGCGACTCTCAAACGTCGGGGACACTTGGATCTTCAAGGTCGCTAACATGATGAGCCGCCCTACGAATTCCCTTGTCGCTCGTCGCCGGCGGTATCGGGTTCGCTGATCCTGCGCACGGTGACTGTGGGCCCGTGAAGAAAATTCTTCAAGGCCGCCGCGAATGTGGCATATTTATTCGGTCGATACCGCAGTGATATCGCTCTCTCGCGATCGAAATTTCATTCCTTCAAGAATCCTTCGACGTGGCGATTTTCTGACCGAAGATCCTCTCCGTTATCACACCGGCTTCGTCGTTATTATTAATAGAGGCAACACCGTGGATAAGCTGATAGACGAACCGGGATGAGAGAGAGCGAGTTACAAAGAGACGAGAGAGGGAGAGAAAGAGAGAACCAAAGATACAGGAAAAGAAAAAGAGAGAGAAAGAGATAGACAGCCGCTCCCGTGGGTGTGACCTCGTGTAAATTCGTTTTCCATAAATCTCACTCCTACCACACACTCTCCCGTGGTCGCGCGCGCGGCGCGCTCTCACACACGACCTTTGTATAAACGCCGAGATTCGCTGAGCCGAACGAAACCGGTTTTGTCAAGCAACGACACCGAGCGATTTTCAAGCGTAGCCTCGCGCGAGCGCCGAGCGCCGAGCGCCGAGTGTACGGGAATCCTCGTGGCTTATCGAGCGCGATCCCGGAGTAATCCCGGATGAAGCCGTGCGCCGAGGAGGTGAAACCGATCGTCCGCTCGTTAATCTGGAAATTCGTCCCGGACGAATTAATCCGTCGGAATGACGCTGCCTCGGATTATCCTCGGAGCAATTAATAATGGTGGATCAAGTCGAGGCTCCAGGTGGATCCACGGCGCGCGCGATCACTCGAAAGAGGGATTCCTCGGCGCGCTCGATCGCGGATCTCCGACTGATTTCTGAAACGTCACCGGCCACTCCATCCACTTTGCGAGGGTCTCTCTCGCAGTTCTCGACGTACGTACACGTGGAGGTCGGGGAGAGTTCTCGTTTCCGTTGAGGAAACCGGCACAGAGCGCACCGGGTGGTCGCGAAACTATACCGGATCGAACGACGGGCAGGCAGAGACCGTCGCACGAGCGTCACGTGAACGTGGAAGTCACTCGCGGATAATTGGACTCATCGCAAGCACTAATAGCGTTGAAACAACCAGCTCCTGTGTCCGCCGAGTCAGCGGCTCTCGTCAACTCGAGACGGGAGCCCGCTTATCGCCCGGGGTTCGCGCTGATCAGCAAGTCCTCTCTCCTCACCTCGCTCTCCTCACTCGCCGCTCTCGTCACCTCGCCGGCGTTCGTTGTCTGCCGAACGAAGCGAGTAAAACGTGGGTCGCCTCTAATCTCCCCCGATGTAACGGAGTCAAGCCAATGTCGGTCGCGACACAGCTCGATCACGCAGCGCCGGATGGCCCATCAAGGACAACCCGCTAACTTCCTTTCTTCCTTTTGGCCACCTCCTGTCTTCTCCTCGCCGTCGACTGCGATTAAGCCCCACGTAGTACCGGATTGTCGATCAAGGACTCGTGTCTTCCCTCGTCGTCGTTGCTTTCTCCTTCGCGATTTCGTTTTCTTCAGTATCTCGCTTTCTCGAGTTCCTCTTCCCAAGTTCCTTCGGTGTTTCTTCGGGTATCGGCACGATTAGGAGTACGTAGCACTAAAATACGCAAGTTCCAAATTCTCCGATCGAGGAGCCGTATCCTTCTTTCGCCGAAATCCGATCAGTTCCTCGCTTTCCTTTTCTTCCCGTCCTCTCTTCGCGGCTTCTTCTCGCGCTTCGCACAGTCGACCGCTTCGCTCGCCGGAACGGATCGCGCCGCTCGTCCTTATCACGTCCACCAGAAGGCCGCGACTGCCAACCGCTCGTTCGCGGACGGCCGTGTCTCGCCGGATCACCACCGCTGTCGTCCCGACGCTTTACCGACCGCGAGTCAGCGGCAGCGGAGGAGTCAAAGTCGGAGCAGCGGAGTTCGGGTGTACCAGGCTCGCCTCGCTCTCTCGTTCGCTCTCTCGCTCTGTCTCTATCTCCCTCTCCTTCCCTCTTTCCTTGGGAGGTCTCTCTCTCTCTCGGCCGGCAAGGTAGACCTCAGTGGCGGACGATCCTATTACCTCCTCTTCTCTCGGTCGACGATTCGCGGTCGTTTCCACCCGGTAAAGCCGTCCACGTAAGGTATCCTCTCGACGTCGGCGCCGCGATGTCCAACCTCCTGGTCTCTTCCTCCCGGTGACCCAACCTCTCCTTCCTTTTCTCTTTCTTTCTTTTTTCCCCTCTCTTCTCCTCCTAACGCGCGCTCTACGAGTTAACTATACCCTTCGGAGCGGAGCTCTGCCCGCTTTCGCCCGTTTTTCCTCTCTCAGCGGAGGTCACCGCGTAGAGCCACGAGAAGAGAGAAGAGTCGATCAATCGGTCGGTCGATCGGCCGGTCCCCGTCCGTCCTCGTTCGCAGGTACTCGGCCGAAAACTCGCCGGTGTGACCGTCCGCGATCGCGAAGGCGGCGCGCGCGCGCACTCGTACTCTTCGCGCACACACAGAGTACGCGCGCGGACGGTACACACGCACGCACGCACGCACGATGTACGTGCAACACGACAGTTCTCCTCCGGTATAGAAAAGTCCACTGGGCCCTGCACTTTTTGTGCCAGCGGCCTGCCAGCTACACGCGCGCACACACCTGCACACGCCGCGGCGGCACACTCGTCACTCGCAACGCATACGTACACGATACCTATCTATCTGCCTGTTCTTTTCTCCCTCTCTCGCTCTGTTTCATTCGGTGTCTCTCCCACACTCGGTCGATCTTTCTTTCTCTGTCTCCCTCTCTCTCTGTCCCGTTCCCTCCCCCACCAATCTCCTCGCCGTCCCTCTCGGGACTACTCGTTGCCGCTCTCTCGTTCTCTTTCTCTCTCTCTCGAGTCCTCTCTCAACGCGATCGTCTCCTCGCTGGCCGTGCACAGCCGGTCGGTCTCTACATGTCGAGTGTTGCCCGTGGGCCAAGTCCCTCCCTCCCTCGCTCTCACTCTCTCTTTCTCTCTTTTTCTTCTCTCACGATATATATGTACATATATATGTATGTATGTATGTATGTATGTATATATGTATATATATATATATATATATATATATATATCTTTCTCGTGTTCTCTCTCTTTAACTCTCTTCGACTCCCGCTCCGTCTGGTTCACTCTCCTACTCCAACTGTCTTTATCTCTGCCGCGGCGCGTGTATAGCGAACGATTCGCACGTTTTGGGCTTTCACCCGGACTGATCCACCGACAACGACAACGACGAGACCGAGAGGCAGTCAGTCTCTTTCCCTTCGATTCCACTCGCGGACATATAATGTACGAACGCGCGCGGCTCCCCGGGGGACCGTCTCTGCGCGATCGTCTCCTACTCCCGGTGACCGAGCGCGATCTTTCGAACACCACCGTCGCCGCTGGACTCCTCTCCTGAGGGAGTCCCCGCTGGTTCTCTCCTTCCGAGACCCGACTGGACGGACGTTCGCTTCGTGTTCCGGTTCCCCGTTCGCTGACTCGCGCCGACTGATCGTCGCCGTGCCGGACGACACACCGCCTCGTCTACGTGGACGGCTTCTTCCTGGCCGCGGAGGAGAATACCACACCGCCGGCGAGGCGCACAGCTGACCGGCCGGTCCGCCAAGCTCGGTCAATAGCCATAGCCAACCGCGAGCT